CAGCATCAAAGTTTGCCCCTGTGAAAATACTGTACTGTACAGTATACGCATATTATTTCATGTGGATCCGCTAAAATAACGAATAATACTGTATTCAATATTTACTGATAATTCATATCAGTTTTCAGTGGAAGTAGGACCAACTTATTGGCTTCAAAACCTCTACATGTCACCAGAGAACAGGAATAAAGGCCAAGGCAAGCAATTGTTACTCGCTACCATGAAGGTAATTTATCATTTACTGCATGTCTTAATTAATTACAAAGCATTCTCATATATGCGTTTTTCTAAGGCTTTCATAATACTGTATAGTGTTTCACTGCTTAACAAATTATACGTAAAAAAAATTTCCCATAAGCTTTTATCCGTAAAGAAAAATTATACTCACGAATAAAATTTGTTCCGCAAAAATTTTCGCTCGACCAAAAATTCATGAACTTATTTCTGCAGATCATCAGTTTTAAGTATCGTATTGAAAATTGTTGCTAGCGCAAAAGCAAGAAAACAACGTATATGTTTCTAACAACTTTTAAAAACATTTTTGTCAATGTTGGAAAATCGAATAATGCCGCGAATGTTTCCATCTCAAATTTCTGAAAAATTTTCGGCGAAACTCCGTGAATATTGTTTTCAAAACACAATAAATAACACCAGTTTTCTGTGTCGAAAAATATGATCACTTAATTTTTGCTTAAAAATTATATTAAAAAAAAATTATGAATTTATTTCAACACTCGAAAGGATTTCGCTGCGTGAAAATTTAAAGTGCACTCCTCTTATTAAATCCCGCGAAATAAGCTAATGTAATAATGACAAAAGTTTTTCTTTCTAGTATAGCTTTTTAAACTTTCGAATTTTAATTTTGAATTGACGTCGGGCGAGGTAATTTCAAAATTTCATCACTGGTTTTTCACAGGGCTCAGAAAGCACAAAAGCTCCGTTTCAGGGTGATTGTTTCAATATCCAGATCGAATACCGTGTTTCTAAATCGAGCTCCTTGTGAAAATTAGCTCATCTCAAAATTACAATACACATATTTATTTTTTATTATTATGCATTTCAGGAAATTTTAAATCATCCCTGCAACCGACTGAACTTCGCCATGGAAGTTGAGAAACCAGAAATTGTAGCATTTTATAATCGCTTGGGAGTCCAGGATTTCACCCAGCAACACAACTGGAAATTACTCAAGTTCAACAATGAAACATTGCATCGTTTGTCCCAGCAATGAATGAAACAAGAAACAAATGGTCG